ACGTCTGTCTGGAAAATGATGAAACTGCAGAGCATATACTTTGTGCCTGCCCCGCTGGGGACCGAATCAGGTTCTTTGAGTTCGGCAGATCCGTACTCTCACCATCTGACCTGAAAGACCACTCACCATAAAACTTATCGGCTTCGTTAAGAAGCCAATAAATCCTTATGGGTCGCCGTGGAGGGTCGAATAGACACACTCACTTTAGACCTATCTACCTACCTACTCCTAGGCCAGTTTTGATGTAAGTTTGGAGTTATCAATGCCCCAATAATAACAATGTGAGGTAATTTTATGCCAACTGACAAATATTTCAATGACCATTTGGTTATCAAATGTGGAATCTGTGTATTTAAAATGAAAATTGGAAACTATGGTATAGCATTGAACTAGTCTACTTCATCCTTTGCAGAAGATAAATTAGATGGAGAAACGTGTGTCGAAAAGAATATTGCAGTTCTGGTGTTTGGTAAGAGTGCTTACTTTGGATGTGCATTCAGAGCTGGTTCAGAATCGTAAAAAAATCCTTATCTTGATGCATTGATAGAAACCCATGAACCCATATACTATTTCCGGACCGTCAAGAATTTTTAATGGATTTCAAATATATGCTTGAAATATTCATGCAAAGCCTCAACAAAATGAGCAAATCTATATTCTTATAGATAGCCAGGCTGCACTCGGATCACCGATGGGTGAAATAATCTTCTTGGAAGAGCTGAAGAAATTGATGTGAAGAAAAAGATTCACTTCACATTGGGTGCCAAGACACTCAGGTATGATGATTATTGTAGACACGGATCATTAGGTTCATATTTGGGATACCTGAACAAAATAGGGAGACCTTAGCTTCAGCCAATGTATCGAAAGGCCAGAGACAGCTTGTTATATTTTATGCGAATGTGAGGTAGGTAGATAGGTCTCAAGTGAGTGGATCTATTCGACGACTCTCCACTACAGCTCCCGGGTGTTTATTGTGTCTCACACCTATTCAACTCGATGAAATAAATTCAGCTTTTTAACGAAGCCGGTAGATACTATGCAAATTTTTTTATCTCTAGTTTGGAGAATCATATTTTGACCAGAAGCTTCTGCAGGAATTGCTCAAGGAAATATTGTTTCCTGATGCAGATTCTCCATCTGCTAGTGAAAGATAGATTCATAATATATTCTGCTCCTGAGGAGGTGGTATGTCGCTTCTTGGCTACACCACTTAGCCTCTCAGGTTTATTCAAGAGTACAACGACTGAAACGCTTCTGTTAGTGATCCAATGTTACAGGAAAGACAGTTGAAGTCGTTTTGTCAACCTCCATATGCTCTGTGAAATCAAGTCACTAGCCGTTTTCTCTTTTTCTTCCTCTCGATCCATTATCACAAAAAGGACAATTGTGATCTTTTAGTCGACGTCCATCTCGAATCATGTTCCATAAATGGACCATCACGAATAAATTCATTAACATCAATTGAAGTTAGAAATCACACTATTGAAATATCTTGATTGATAAAAATTCACAGTGGCTGAAAGCCAAGATGATTCCAAATATACATTCGTAGTGATGGTTATAATATAGCTGTTATAATTAATATAAAATTTAGAATTTCATTAAAATTTTTGTCAACAGATTAAAAACTTCAGCAGCGTGAAGAATTTGTTTTGTTTCAACAACAATTGTGACAGAAGAGTAATCCGCAGTTGGCCATGAGTATGGCTTTCAGCCTCACTCATGGTTAGCCTCCTACATAGATACATTTGGGAACCGGCGATTCTCTAAAATTCTAGAAGAACTGACTGAAAGCATGTCTCGTGAAACGATGGTACTCGTATCTCATTACTCAATCATGAAACAACAAAATGAAAACTTTTCCAGAAGTAGCCCTAATGGAGAATCTTACAAATATATTTTTTCTTAGAGAAAAAAAGGCAGCCAAGTGAATATTTTGATTGATGCAACTAGTTTTCCTTCATTTTCAATGTTTTAATATCAACACTTGTTCACAAGAAGGATCAAAAGTTTTAATAACTTCTAATTATTATATGCGAGCGCTTTCGATAGCAGACTGTGCTGTCATCTTCATGGCTTAACTCAAACCTAACGTTTTATCTTCTTGTTTGTTTTTCATACGATTAGATCGCCTTAGTGAATGTGTTATTGTAGTTGTATTGTTGAAGGTTGATTATTTAGGGCTTGGGCAGGTATTTGTCCTCTCCTTTCATCCGGATGTCTCATTAAATTTGCCTGTACTTGGATTACATTAGGTAATCCTTTATGTTGGTGTTTCCCTAGATTCAGTATTTCTAGGAATGTGTATTGTTTTGTGGAGTACATTGAATATTAGGTTTTGTTATGTTTTGATTTGTATTTGTTCCTCAAAAGTCATAATTCTAGGTTTTCTAACTGGAACCACAAATGTGCGGTTGGCTCCTGTTGTTGACTTCGTGCGTATTTGTTGTTTTTTACTTTTGGCAAAAAAATGCTACCCATTTTTGCACTTGGATCCACGGCGCTGATGAGGCCAATAACCAGAAACACGTGTGATTTATATCATACATACATAAAATAAAATAAATACAACAATAAAAATTAATTGGCGCTCCGGAGCGACTTCATTGATTCCAGTGGCGCATTTGCTTTTTCAGCTATATTGTGATGCAAATAACTCTCATTTAATGGTCAATGAAATGTCTACAGACAATACGACACCTGAATTACCCTAATGACTGTCAATGAGTAATAATTTATCCTAATTCTTTTTTAAATATTCAGCATGTTTATGAAACAGATTCTTCCAAACCCGGTAATGTTATTCTTAAACTAGTTAGCAAATTCAGCAACATTTATGATATTTTGAACCAGCTGAAAAGCGACTAATGAATGGGAAGTTACATGACATTGAATAAGTTGAACAAATAATCTTATTATAAATTTTTATTTTCGTTAAAATATCGAATACAATAATTTGTCACCTTCAACCTGGGTGTATGGCACAATGATAGGTAGATTAGGAACCCTTGTCATATGATGTCACAAAAGACTGAGAGTATTCAAGTTTTTTCCTCATAACGATATCTTAGTTCTGAACGAAATCTAATTTTACCGTCTCGAGAAAATGTTTTTATCAGTACACCATATTCTTAGAAGCTCTGTCAACTGGAGTATCAGTCACCTGTTGAGAGGAGATATTTTCCAAAAAGTTCAGGTGAGTTAACGTTTCTATAATAGTAACATTTTAAACTTGTAGGGAAACAGTTTTTCAATTGAGAATCGAATTGAAGAATCCAATTCTGTTGACAGAGAAATAACATGTGAGAAAATTTGTATTATGGTGCTACCAAATGAAAAATTCAAATTAGCTGCATACTTATATTGATTGCTGTGCACCACAGTGATGAATTTCAGAATAAATATTGAGGGCTCAGACAAAATATCTTCTTTCAAAAAAGTAGAACTATAAGCGTCCTTTAACACCGAGAGCTTCAACTCTCTCACTCCCGAAAGAGAGGAAGGCTCTTAGCGCCAAAATGCAACGAATCCAATGGAGCTTTCAGACGAAGAGCGTCTCCTACATCTCTAGCCGAGGAGCCACGCCTACTTCTCAAAATGTAAAAGGATGAGTCGGGACTTCCACAGGAGGAGTAAAAACGGCTCTCTCCAGTTGACGCTTCACACTATTCATCATGGCAGATTACGTTGTAGAGCAGTTAATTAGTGCTGTCTGCAACCGAACCGCTCTTTGGGATAAAAGTATCGATATTTATAAGGAGCGAAATGAAGTTGTAAAAAGTTGGGTGGAAGTCTGCAAGGTGCTCAACGTAGATTTCGCAACTTTATCCATCCTATTCTTGATCGTTGACGGTAGAGGAGGTATATAGCAACAGCTCACGTGCGATCCATTCTGCGACTGACTTCATGGAGCCAGGAACTAAAAAGGCTCCCGGTGTGAATGGGCGGTAGGTAGGAGTATCAAACAATTAAAACCCTTGAGAACTGTTTGGCATATCACCAAGACATGATATTGAAGCCAATAAAAAAAGTGAAATTTATCTAAACAGTTTCTCAATTACTTTATTGAATAGCCAGCATAATTGTTACTGCTTTTTTAAAAGACCACGCAGGTGAGACTTTCATCTGGGGGTAAATTTCTTAATGAATAAACGCCGTTCAATTGTCATATAAAAATATATGTTTAAAATATGTTTTTTCCGTTAACCAGCTATCGCACCCCTACAAGCCACAATAAACCCTTATGGGTTGTGGTGGAGGGTCGAATAGACCCACTACCTTTAGACCTACGAACGACAACCCTCAGAAGTCGAAACTTGCGCGAGCTGAGGACTAACGAGGTCTTGCCTTTTAACGTTTGATTCAGTAACATGGACTTCGATTCATTCAACATAAGCTTCATCACTTGAACATAAGGCATTGAATTTGTCTTCTGTTATATGTATTTTGATGGAGTATCTCTAACATAGTTACATTAGGATAAATATTCCGTATTTTTGGAACTGAACGATAACGAAGGCTCATTGTTACATTCATTGGAATTGATATTCCATTTTATTTGATCATCAAACTGCAGTCTTTCATAGTTCACTCAGACTTACGTTATTTGGTAAACTGAATAACGAGTCAAACGAAAGGAATATGAAAATAAAAAAGTGTGGAAAGCTAGGCCAAACCTATTTTCAACACTGAAATTTCTTAACGTGAAAGTGCACAAAATCATTTTCATAACAAAAAACGTTGCATGCATTATTGCATAATTGTTGGAGGTCATATCTGATAACGTTGCGAATCTCAGATTATCAAAATATGAAAATACGTTTTATTTCATTAATCAATATAATATTACAACAAATTCACTTCATTAATCTTATTGGCTGATTCTGTCTATCTTTTCACCATCAATTTCAAACTACTCTGATTTTTGTTAGTTCACCATGTTGGTACTGCGGTATTGGTGCTCATTAGCTTTGTGTTAAACGACAATGAAAACGTGTTTTTTTCTCACTAACAAAACTATACCTTCCACACCTAAAATAAATCTGACCATGCGCTAAATTTGTTTATTTATTTATTTTACGTGACCTTAACTGAGAGTAGGTGAACTTGACATGAAGATAACCTCATTGCATCTCGTATGTGCAATTTTTTACACTATAGCATCGTCATAAAGAGCAGTTGTACAACAAATCTCCTCTAAGTGACTTTTTGAAAACAATAAGTAAAAGTTCATCGGTGAAAATCGTAGTTCATCGGAGATTATAATATTCACCTGTTGGGTATAAGGCGGTCCAAACTGTGTAGGATCAGAAGAAATTGAAAGATCTTTGAGAAACATGTTGCGATTTTGTTTCGCCTTGACTGTGAGTATTGCCGGAGGAGCTTTAGCGGTCTACCCAGGTGAGTTAATACTAATGTTAAATAACATCTTCGAAAGTAATCTGGCATTGATAAATAATAAATCATCAATTGGTATTTCTTTGACAGCATGATAAATACTTTATGGGCGATGAACCACTAATAAAAATATTATTCAAATGTTTGGTTAATTAGACCTTGAAACTATTTGAAATCATTTTGTCATCGTCAATGAGAATATTGTTCAAATTTAATTTACTGGAAATGAAGTAGATTCCAATAATACACTAATAGTAATAATAGTACACATCAGACGAAGATCCACTAGGAATATTTATTGTACAGTTATTTTCAAAGTTTCATATTAGAATACAACAATACATCCTTCTTAATCTACCTACTTATATGTTACGAAATGAACATCTGGCATTTGGGTACCGCCTCATGTTCTCATTTAAAATTTTGTGTACTGAATGTCGAAATCAAAATAATATGACCGAGTAACATGACAATTATACCGGGCCACAAAAACATAATATAAACTCATGTAACGTAATTGACGTACGAAGTAAAAAATAATAACCTTTGAGGACAGTATACAGGGCACCAATTATGATAGGTGGAGTTGTAACCTATGACGTGAAATGAAACCAAAAAAAAACACTTTTCCCACACCGGAACGAAAACACTTCGGTCTTCAGTGTTTATCTCAGAGTTAATACAATTTTATAGAGCTTTCTTTCTACTTTTGATGATACTCTGATTTTCAATTTTTGAGCAACATTTTCCGAAAACTCTTCTAATTTCATTTCATTTCATTCTTACTCCACCAGAAATAACTCAAATATTTTTATGCGAAAGCAAAGAAGCATGCTTCAATGCTTTATTAATTTTTCTGACGCTTTGGTAAATTTCACAAGGTACCTAATGAAATGAAAAATAGTTCATCAATCACAGTACACTTCTCAAGAAAGCAATTAGAGAGTATGTACAGAGTGGACCAAATTAGACATTCTTTGAAGGAAACTCGTGTTTTCAAACTAGATAGATAAAAACTGACGGCTGTATCTCAGGGTCAAATTTTATGACAAACTCAATGGTGACAACCACATATCGATATTAATTATTGTTTCTGAGTTACAGCATGTTTTTCGAAAATGTGCATTTTCGAAAAATTGCTGTAACTTTTTTCCTATCAAAAATTTTTTGTTGTTATGGAAACATTTCCACAGCACTTCTTTATATAGAACTTAAAGATGTGAAAAATTTATTTTTTCAATAGTTATTGAAGGAAAACATTTTTTAAATAAGACACCCTGTATATTCCTGTATATTTCAATAATGTAGCACACCAATATGTCGCTGGAATTGCGAAGGCTGCTTCTGAAAAGTTTGGAACACTGTTCCGAACCAGAAAACTGTACACACCTCAGCAACTTTTGATGCTTTATAAAGCTCAGATCAGACCTTCCTTGGAGTATTGTACTCATGTATGGGGCCCCGCCCCCAAACCTATCCTGAAACTGCTGGATTCCATCCAAGAAAAAGCCATCCGTTGATTGGAGACGCGAACATCACTTGCAATCTTGATGGTCTGAAACATCGAAGAAAGGTTGGAGATTTGTCTCCCTTCTATGGATACTTTCACGGCAAGTGTTCAAGAGACTTGGCACATTTGATTCCATCAAGAGCGGAACATATCAGAAATACGCGACGAACTGTGGCTGCTCATCGGTTTGAGTTTCAACTCAGTACACCTCGAACTTCACTGTTTAAGAACTATTCCATTTGGAGAACGGCCGTTTATGTGGAATAAACTTCCTGAGAACGTTTTTCCAAATGGATTCGATCTCCACTGATTCAAATTCAATGTGAATCACTACTTTCGCACAGGCACCGCTCTAAGAGCGCCTTAATGATTTTCCTGTAGTGCTTGTGTTTTGTCCTTAAAAAAAGAAATTGTTCTAGGTGGTGAGATAATTAAAGTTATTGAAGCAGCAGTGTTTCAAAATTTCGTCATTCTAAAACTATGACTTGTAATCTTGGTAATATGTTGTTGTTCAAAATTCTCCAAGTTCATATTCCGATATATTTTCATTTTTTCAAGTATGAAAAATACTATTGAATAATTCGTCAGTCGAAAAATTGCATCAGATATTTGAGTTTTTCTTTTGGTATTGTTATCAGACTCAAAAATTGTTATTTTCCCATCGCCATAATCCACAATCTACCGTATAAAGGGAGAGTTCTTAACATATTTTGAGTGAAGGCTGGGAAACAACTTGCAACTTTCTCTTTGAAACTCCAGATCTGAATGTTTTCTTGTTCTGTTTCACTGTGCTGAAGATCGAATACGTTATAAACGTTTACAAAACGTCTTCGGTCTATCTTGTCGTGAGTACAAGCTGCTCTGTAAATAGTTTTAGTATAAGTAGCTTTTCAGATTGAATAATTGTTCTTGTGTAACTGAATAAATTGAAGTCTTTGTGTCTAGCAGATTTTCTTTTTAGTTACTATATCTGTCTGATTCATCTATAGGTGTACCACTGATAGGAGGAAAACTCAACAAACCTAACAAAGAATAGAATTCACTTCATTACTTCACTTAGGGTAAAGACATAATTAGAACTGATATCTTATATATTATTATTGCCGACAATATTCTGTATAATTTGTGAATAATGACAGACTGGTTTCTGATTTCATAGCTGAAGGGTTTTCTACAGTACTATACTATCATGAAAATTCAAGTATTCATTCCATTATCAAAGTTAGGGTATAGTTGAATCTATTCTCCTAATAAAATTATGTAACAACATCATGTCTTCGGACACTGGCGTTGGAATTCGTTAGGGTGGTACGCCTTGCTTGTAGCAACTAAATGGGAGCTTATCCTACGCACGAAGGATAAGGGTACCTGAGCCTTATCGGATATCACCAACCGATCATCTGGGATACCAGGCGACCTCTCAGAGTGTTTAAGCCTTGCATCCATGCAGAGGGAGTGAACACTCTTTTCCTTCATACTTGTGAGAAACTCAATGGACTACAGCTACAAACTCTTCGAGCTATAAATTCTTCGAGCGACTCCTCTAACTCGCAATGAGAGTGAAGTAGTCCTTACAAAGAACCTTGGAAGTATAGGAAAAAAATCATGGGATTAGGAGATTCGCAGTAAGTCTCAAAACAGATCCTCAGAACACCAATAACATGTATATGATTTACGACAAACGGATGATTATACCGTCGTTGAGCAACTTGTGTACCAACTTTGAAGGCGGTTAAATTTAAGACGATCAACGAGAGAACAACCTACCTATATACGTGATAGGTTGTTACAGTTTGTAGACTTCAACTTTTTCAGTAGGCTTTTCAAATAGGCTTTGGATGATGCATCGATAAAACAGAATGCAAATCTTTACTGGTAGCTGATTCAAGCAGAGAAGACGCTCTTCAATTTTCAACACATTCGCAATGAAGTATGAGAATTATGAAAATGGGAAATGTTAATCTGTTTCATAGAAATCGGAAAAAATGCAGAAGCAGCAAGCAATTTGTATCACCAGAGAAAAGACAACCTTTTAGAGACATTTTCGCAAGATTGCGACCCAACCTAATTTATGGTGGTCATTTCGAAAAGAAAAGGTCAAACTTATATGAATCAAATAGGGAGGAGTTGGAAGAAATAATCGTCTCAGGAGCTGTTGTGAATAATCACAAAACGTCAACGCGAAATTTGAAAATATCAACAGGTCTACCAAGAACTAACGTGAGCAGAATTTTGAAAAAACACGAATTCAAGCCATACAGGATCAGAAGAGTTCATCAACGCCGCATGGCTTTTTGCCAGTAGTTCTATTGAAATATGCAGGAATCTGCATATTTAAATAGAGATAATAATTATTGAATACTCACAATAAATGCCATTTATGACGCGTTTCACCATACGGTAGCTTCATCAGTTACTGACATATCAAACTATTCTACAATGTCTTTCAACAGTAGTAATGACAAAATTTATTAGATAAATGACTGAATCCCGTTAAATAGCTAGATTTCTATTCACTAGAGCTCATACCGGTAGGAACATTCAATCACTTGAACAAAATCAAATCCTGTTCGTTTTATGGAATATCCCTGAATATATATTAGGATGAAACGAGGTTTTACTGACTTATGTATATATAGTAAGTACTATATTTGGTAGTTTTATTAAAATTCAATTTCCCTCCAATGAAGCATAATCGTAAATATACCATTTTTATGGGGAAGTGTCTAAAAAGCGCTTTCTTCAGTGTGATTTATTTTCAGAATAACTCCGAAAAAAATGTGGAAATTGATCTGTTGCAACTGCAATCATCTTTCCTTCTACTTTTTTGACAATAATATCCATTTTTGATTACAAAAGTTTCTCTGTTTCATTAGTTAAGTTCAACTGATCTTAACGTTTGCGATCACCAAAATATAACAGAATCTTTTTTCTGCTCAATTTTAGTAAACAGGCTGAGTTGTAGTAAAATTTGGAAATGTAGATTCGTCATATTCTATAAAAACAAAATCTATGGAAATTTCATTGACAAGATTCTTTAAAATAACACATAGTCAGGCAGTGGGACATTTCTCCTGGCCTATTTTTATATCATTACTCCAACACTGATCAAATTTAGTTGACATCAGCATATAAATCGATGGTTATCGGTCTCCCTTTGTCTTACAGGTATCTTATACAAGTAGAAATTTCGAGTACCACAATCATAATACTTCTCATACACTATAGCCAACATTTCTCAGTGCTCAGCACTTTTGTCTTATGAATATTTTTCAAGTTGATAAATACTTCAAGTACCTATGTATGTAAATATTGCGTCAGGCTCTGCCAGTTTCATTTATTTGTTATAAGACAAATTCAGCAAAATCGGATATGAGCTCATATCAGAACTTAATCGTTTTCTGTTTCTGGTGTAATTAAAACAAGTTTTTTTTCCATAATTGCAGTCATTAATTTTTCTGATTGACTTGGCCCTTGCTTAATGAATATCCAT